TTCCTGGAACAGCACATCAGAGATGCAGTTTTCAGGGCTGTTTGAAAGAATGAAATGGCTCTGAGCCTCCTCTACAGATGTGACCCATCAGAGGCTCTCCCCTGAGAGTCCCCACAGGGAATTTCTCAGCCTTAAGTCCAAGCTCTATAGCAGCACTGATTATTTTGATGGCCCAGCTGGAGACAACAGACACTTAATGGATCTAGAAATCTCCCCAGGACGAATGTTCAGCTGAGCCTCAGACTGAGCTTCCATTGTACGACACAACCTGCCTTATCTTTATTACCGAGTCCCAGACACGAGGGTGTAACATGGGCTGACGCCAAGAGCCAGGCATGGGACAGTTATCAGAAAACATCTAAGGGGTTTGGGAAGTGGGTTCATTCCAACTCACACTACGCACTTTATGCTGAAGAGCCTATTTCTGATGGGGCCAGTCTAGCAGCTTTCTGCTTCTGCCAAGGCAGGCAGTTCTACCCCTCCCTCACCTCTCCTGCCTACATGCTGGCTCTGGCACTTGTCCCATCCCTTACTGGGCCATCTTAGATCCCTAAACTGGCAGAAAATGACCGGCCCCAGAAAGTGAAGAGTTTCTGAACCAGCGTGGCTAAAGCTGGACACAAGCCTGAGGCAGCGTGAGGGCGATGCGGCCTGGGGCTGGGCAGCAGGGCTACCGCGCTCCCATCGGAGAGCCCAAAGGGGCTCAGCCCTCTTCTCCCCTTCCACCTCAGGAGCTGTAGCTGCTCTCTAGATCCTCTCTACCCGCCACAGAGAGACAGAGGCTCTTTCAGTGCATGGTTCAACTGCCATAAGGTCTAACTTGCTCCCTCTCCCCATTGACTGCAGGTGAGCCATCATCCCCAGGCTCCAAATTCAAACTTCAGTCTCACGTATCAGGTGTGTTGGGATGAACAGGGACGCTATTTTCCATGCAACTGAAAATGGGGCTTAAACTCTTTAGAAATTGTTGCTGTCTCTCTTCAGCTCCACACCAGACACACAGCCCCTGGCATTTCAAGCTGTCTTCCTCTCCTTGGGTGAGGGACAAGCGGCGAGGTCTCCCGGCAGAGTAACGCACCGACCCGCCGAGCTGAGCAGTGCCCACTGCCACGGGCTCCCACGGATGCTCTGTGTGCCCAGCGCGCAGCAGGAGCATGGCCACCGCAACAGGACCAGCAGGCAAAATTGCGGTGCTTGCAGAAGTGTTTTGGCCGCTTAGGTAGGAGCTGACATTACAAATTCAGAGCTGACAACGCTCACGTTCTGCCAGCAGAGATCCTCCATCACTGTCAAGGCTAATAGCATTTTGTACGCACTCACTGTAAAAATAGATGTAAAACGGGTAATAGAGCCTGGAAGCAGCAGCAGGTTAGACCTCGTTACCAAGTCGCTCACCTGTACCATCACCTTGTCACACAGGGTCTCTGCAGAGAGCTGGTGACACCCCAGAGACTGCGGCTGTCCTAGAGCAGCTGGTTGATTACTACAATTAATCATTTATTGCATGTCGCAGCCGTTAGGAGTAGGAAGAAGTAGCTGTACCCGCAAGGCTACGCTCGCCGAGGGAAGCGGGGTACGTGTGTGACATCTGAATGGTGGTGTGGGTGCAAGGGAGGAGGCTCCTTCGTGTGCTGGGACACGGGCGGGAAACCACACGTGGGTCAGGGAGCAGTGAGTCACTGAAGGTGCTTTTGTGTTGGTTTGGGGGCAGGAAAGGCAGGTGAGGCTGGAAAGAAAAAAGGGAGAAACAGAAAATTACGGAACCCGGGGGGGGTGGTGTTTATGGTGAATCTACAACATCAAAGCAAAGTTGCTGTCATCTAAAGCTGATCTGTGCTGCAAATGGAAGGAAGGAAAGCAGGAGGAGAATATCGAAGGGATGACAAAGTCGGGCAGTCTTTGTTTGGCCAAGACCCTGACTCTTCACACCGGCTTTAGTTCACGCAACTAAAGGCGGCACTGTAATAGCTGTGCCGTGCCGTGTCCCGCGGGGACGGCTCCAGCTTCTGGGTCCATCTCAAGGAGTTCCCTCAACAACCTGTCTAACAAGAGAGCCTTCGCTGCCACTGTTTTGCTGTTGCTCTATTTGCGGTCTAACTACTGCAAGCCTGACCTTATCTCCTACTTAATAAATGACTATTTTGCTCTGTTGCTGCTGATCTGTCTCGTGTTGCAGGATGGAACTGATTTCGGGTCAAAATGCCAAAATTGGGCTGCACCACCTTTAACACACCCACCCAGAGAGGTGAGCACAGGGATCCCTGGGCAACATGCAGCCAGGACAAGTTTAGCAGTGCGAAGAGTGAGCAATACTCAGAGTCACAAACAGCTCAAAGGCAATAATTGGATTTCTAACTCCAGAAAATCACAACTGCTGACTGAGACGGGACATGGCTCTGGATGACGCTCCGATATGGCCTCTTACAGCGATTCCTGTGGCTCCTGCCCTTCCTAAAAAGAACTTGTCGCAGTAAAAGCCAGCAGGAGCTATCTGAGGCTGCAGTCCTGGATGCAGAATGGCACTGGCAGGGAAGGCACGGAGATTTGGGGGGATTTAAGCTAATTTAAAGGATGTGGGGCTGGTGCTTTACTGGCTGGCTCTCCCCAGGCCGGCTAACGGGCAGGGTCGGTGGGTGATGCCCATGCTCCAGGTCCTCACCAGCACCACCCAGTCCACACGCTGTGGCGGGGGGATTGCCAGGCGGGCACGAGGGCTGGAGGACAACCCGGCCACGAGCACCCCGCGGGGCCCGGCTGCCCCAGGAATGCACCCGGAGCGGTGTCAGCGCCCGGCGGGCGTTTTGTGCTCGGCTCTGTGTGCTCGGGCAGGGGAGCACGTAGCAGCGCGGCTCCGGAGCGAAACACGTACCAGACAGATTATTGAGACAGGAATTTCTTGTCATCGCAAGAGCTTTGCTTACTTTTGTCATTTTAATGCATTGCACTCAGAGCCTGGTTTTAAAAAAACCAACAAACCCAATGCACTCCCCCCCGGCCTTTCAGAGATAATTTAAGTCTCTTTCTGAAAGGCCTTTTTACGGTTTCAGCGGCTCCCAGGGCAAGGATGAAATACCAGGAGAGTGGCAGCAACACGCAACTTCTGCACCGTGGGGTGCTGCCGGTCAAACACAACCCCCTGCAGGAACGAACATTTTGCACGGGGCGCAGAGCGTGTGCCATTGCAGGTTCTCAGGGCAATGCCCACATTCTGCGCCCCGTGCCAGCCCTCATCCTTCTTGCCTATCTTTCCCTCTGCCTCTTCACTCGCTTGTGCGGGCAGGGTTGAGTCATCCTAGGCATGCTCTGGGGGAAACCGTTGCCTCCAGCCCATTTCTTGGAAACCAATAAAAAAAAAAACCAAACAAAAAAATATCCCAGAAATGTTGCAACACACTTGCTGCTTCTGCTTCTGGGGGACTGTTGCGTTGTAACACCTCCACACCACGCGGGCAGCTCCAGCACAGAACCAAGCAGCCATATGCTCTGGGACCGTGCTAACCATAGCTATGGCCCTGCACATCAGGTGCGCTTCCTTCCCTGCCGCCTTTGCAAGACTGAAGACCCATATTTGCTGAATCACAGAATGGTTTGGGTTGGAAGGGACCTTGAAGACCATCCACTGCCACCCCCTGCCCTGGGCAGGGCCACCTCCCCCCAGCCCAGGTTGCTCCAAGCCCCGTCCAACCTGGCCTTGAACACCTCCAGGGATGGGGCAGCCCCAGCTTCTCGGGGCAACCTGCCCCAGGAGCTCACCACCTCCATAGTGAAAAATTTCTTCCTGATATCTCATCTAAATCTGCGCTCTTTCAATGTAAAACCATTCCCCCTCATCCTTTTGCTCCACTCCAAGATCGAGAGTCCATCCCCACCTTTCCTGGAGCCCCTTTAGGGACTTTAAGCACTGGAATAATGGCCTTTATATGAGCTAACCTCTGAATAAACGTACCTTTAGCCTTGTGCTTCCTGATCATGTAAGACAGTTCTTTCTTCCCTGAACAATCTTATTCCATTCGTTCTTTATTCCCATTATGCTCCTGAAAGCCACTGTTCAACCAGGGAGATCTCAATTCCTTCTGTAGAACATTTAAACCTTTACGAGGGATGCAAGCTCCAGGTGTTTTGTATCTTTGACTTAAAATAATCCCCTTCTCCTGTCTTGTTCCCTTTCTGACGCCTGCCAGGTCAGCTGGCTTCATTAACTTCATTAACTTCTTCCCTCTATCTCTCAGAAGCTGCTCTTGCAAAATGAAGAATCCTCCCAGAGCTTTCAAATCTAATTTTGTCTTTCCATTCCACCCATGAATCCACTCATGATCACTTGATCCAAGCTAATTTTCCGTGGCTAGCTATTACACGTCCTCTGCTTCAGACACAAAGTCTGAAATCACATCCCTTCTGGGCGGTCCAGAGCCGACTTTATGAAGGAGTTTATGGGCTACAGCCCCCAGGGATACGTGGCCTTTACCATTATTAACAACCTTTGATCTCCACTTGACATCCAGAAAGCTAAAGTCTCCCGTAACGATACTATTTGTCTCTCTAGTAACACGGCGACCTCAAACCCTACCCAAATGTGAATCGGGAGGATTCCAGCAGGATCCAAAGCAGCCTACTTGTTTCCCCGCGTCAGCGGAGCGTTTGGAGGGTCAGAGTACTGCTAATGAAGGACCTTGAGGTCTCCGGGGGAGGAGGAGGCTATAGAGGAATGCCAAGCACCTTTTCCCATGTATATGTTCTTGCACACACATGCATGGGTTTGTAATTTGAAACTCTCTTTACTTCTGGACAGGCTTTGCAAACTGCTTAGACCACATTCTCTGAGGTGTTTAAAGAGGGTGGAGTATGCAGTATTTATTTAGGTACTCTACAAACCTTAATAAGAATCGAGTGGTTGTAGCAATCGCGGAGAGCAAACAGAAAGCCAGCTGGCAGAAACCGAACAGTGCCACTGCACTTTTATTGCTTCTAACTCCCCAAAAACCAGATTATTACTGAAAAAAATGTCTTTTTTAATTTCATTTATCTCTGATCCTGCATTAATTTGTCTGCTGTCTGCAGCAGTGTTAGTAGCTGTACTCTATTTTTCAACTGGCTATAAAAATTCAGCTTTTAAGTTTCCTCCTGGTCCACCTCCTCTTCCG